ATACTCTTCTTCAGACTGCCCAAAGTACCCCACTACATGCCTCTCTGTTACTGTCCCTTCCACTGGAGTGTTGAGAGCCACATTCACCTTGTATTTCATTTACTTTCTATTCCCTTACTAAAATTTACTATTTTATTTATTAAGTGAATGGACTGGGAAATAAAAGTCAAATTGAGTCACAATGTTTGATTGACCTACAAGTACAAGCTTGGGATAGGCACCCTCTAACATAGCCCTCTATGATTCCAACCTCCTGAAATTTACAAGCTTGTGTACTTCAGTTCCCCAAGTTTAGACTGGGTTTAATGATGGTCATGATGATTCTTCTTCAAATTTATAATTTTAGGTGAATGTCAAGTACGTGAAAATTACCTTCATGACAAGTCCTCCTCATGGAAAAAAAAATAGAAGAATTTTATATCAGGAAATATGTACTTCAAAACATTAAAATACAATTAAAACATAAAGATATTAGTAAAAGTAAAATCTATACAAGGAAAAACAAGGCAAAGTTTTCTTCAGAAAATTACAGCATTTACTTGCTTACCAGAGCACATACTTCTCAAATAGAATGTAGCTAAGATGATGGGATGTTGTTCCCAAGATCAGGTTAGTGTCACTTCTAAGGTTACAAAAAGAGCATAACTTCTGTCTTGGACCTTTTACTGGGTTACATAGTGTCCCCAAAACATTCATGTCCAACTGGAGCATCAGAAAGTAATTTTGATTAGAGACAATATCTTTGTAGATATATTTAGTTTAGGTGAGTTTTACTGGATTAAGGTGGATTTTAAGCCAATGACTGGTATTCTCCTAAGAGGCAATACACACAAACACTTAGGTGATACCACCATGTGACAACAGAGGCAGAGATTGAAGTAATGAGGTCATAAACAGAGTGCATGTATGGTGTAGTATCAGAAATGATTACTAAAAAGGAAAATGAGTCACAGCGGCTACTGTGCAAGATAAAATGATCAAACTAAGACTCTCTGAGGAGTTGACAACTGGACAGAGCCTTGAGTGAAAAGAAAGGAAGGGGGAAAGAAATCACATGATATTTATAGAACCAGCTTTCCAGGAAGATAACACAGTCAAAGTAAAAAATGTGGGAGTGGAGGAAGTCATGAGATGCTTGAGGGATAATGAAGTTGCCAAAGTAGTCAGAGTACAGAGAGGCAGAGAAAGAGAGGAAAGAAAATATGTTATTGAAGAAATGAGCAAAGAAAATTTGTTTTTATTGGACCTTGTAGAGTGCAACAAGGACTTTCAGTTTTATTCTAAGTCGGGTAAAAAGCCATTGTAGATTTTTTATGTGGTTGAACTCATGTTTCAAAAGGTATTCTATGACCTTTCTGAGAAGAGAGAAATGGGTGGCAAGCTAAGTAGGAGCAGAAGTCAGGGAATTAAGAGAATGTTGCAGTTATAGAGGTGAGAAAAAAAAAAAGATGGTTATTCAGACTATGAAAATAGTTAGAGAGGTTGAAGTCTTGTATGTTTTGAAGGTAGACCTGGCAGGGATGAATTGAATATGGTGGGGACATTTGGAGCCTGAGAAACTGGATGCATGATGATGTCATGAGTGGGGACACTTAGGGAAAGCAGGGAGTGGAACCTGGGAGATTTCATTTTATAGACATGTTCCAGGTGAAAGGCCTTCTGATATTTATGAGGGGGATCATAACATCCTTGGTAACAGGTGGGCAGGCAGAGTGTGCAGTTACAGCTCTGGTAAGTATGTAGAGATGGTCCAGAGGGTCTGTTCAAAGTTTCTTATGTCCCCTTCAATTTTCAGTGAAGGAGGTAAGAAATAAAATCATCACCAGTTCCCAGAGAATGGGAGAAAATCTTTACCACCTGTACCTCAGATATGGCATTAATTTCCAGGATATACAAAGAACTCAAAAACTCAACACCAAAAAACCCCAAAAAACCTCATCAACAAATGGGCAAAGGAACTGAACAAACACTTAACAAAATAAGAAATATGAATGGTCAAGAAATGTATGAAAAATATTCCATATCTCTAGTAAAAGAAAAGTGGTTCATGACTGACACCGGGGATAAGAAGTATGTTTATTGTCATGTGCCTGACAAGGCTGCTCTGCGTAGAGAGAGGGAGAGCAGCAGCAACTCTCTCTTGAATGTTACCTTTTATAGGCTAGAATCATGGCCGCAGGGTAGGGACGGGTTTAGTCTTGACTGGTATAATAAGCATTCCCTGTTCTTGTGGAAGGCAAGTGTGTTTCTTGGGAACAAAGACAGGCAGTTTTCCTATCTCTCAGAAAAGGGAACAGGGAAACGAGCATGTCTCTTATCTTCTCAAGGAGAGAACAGGGAAACCAGTAAGTCCCCGTCTCAGGGCCCCATAAGTTCTCTTCTATCTCTCAATTAGAGAACAGGGAGACTGGCACATCTCCAGACTGGTAGGGTTTATCTAAGGCTAGTTCTATTTCTTGGGAATAAAAACAGTATTCATAAAGCGGGGGTGAGGGAAAGGAAAATGGCTGCAATTATGCCAACATCTAGCAATTAGAGAAATGCAAATTAAAACTACACTGAGATTCCATCTCACTCCAGTCAGAATGGCAATTATCAAGACTATGAGTAACAATAAATGTTGGCAAGGATGTGGGGAGAAAGGTACTTTCATACATTGTTGGTAGGACTGAAAATTGGTGCAACTACTCTGAAAAGCAGTATGGAGATTCCTTAGAAAAATTGGGATGGAAACAACCATTTGACCCAGTTATGCCACTCCTTAGTCTATACTTAGTGGACTTAAAAATAGCATACTATGATAATGCAGCCACCTCAGCATTTATAGCAGCTCAACTCACAGTAGCTAAGCTATAGAAACAACCTCAAGTGTCCTTCAACGAATGAATGGATAAAGAAAATATGGTTTATATACACAATAGAATATTAGTCTTAAAGAATAATGAAATAATGGCATTTGCCAGTAAATGAGAATATCATGCTAAGTGAAATAAGCTAATCCCAAAAAACCAAAGGTTGAATATTCTCTCTGATTTGTGAATGCTAACCAAAAACAAGGGTGGTTGGGGAGGGGAATAATAGAAATCCATTGAATTAGACAAAGGGAAAGGAAGGAAAGGGAGGAGGGAGAGTATTAGGGAAGACAGTAGAATTAATCAGACATAACTTTCCTAGCTTCATATTTGAATACATGACCAGGGTAACACTGCATCGTGTACAACCACAAGAGTGGGATCCTAAATAGAATGAGTTACACTCTATGTATGTATAATTTGAAAAAATCCATTCTACTGTCTTGTATAATTAAAAAGAACAAATTTTAAAAAATGAAAACGAAACAAAACAAAATCATCACTGGAGAATGAGGATGGGAGGAAGGTGTTCGAGGAGCTGAGAAAAGGAAAATGAGCTGGACAGTGATTGAAGGAGAGAGCCAAAATGCAATCGGGGGAGCACTGCGTGTGCTGGAGGTGTGACCGTGGACCTGAAGCTAGAACAGTCAGGAGGGTTGGGAGTTCTTCTCCAAATATGTTTGAGAACAAGGTGTAGGGAAAGAGTAGGGAGAGCAGGATTTTAACAGGGTGTGGTAAAAAATGAGTGTCACAGAGTGACAAAGCAAGAGAGAAGCAAAGGAATAAAAGTACATGGAAAGCAGTGAGCATAGAGATTGACTATGAAGTTTAAGAGAGAAAGCTATGCCAAAGTGGAGACTATTGATGAATCTGTGTTAACTAAAGGAGATCTTCTGCTTGCATTTCTCAGGGTGTTTTTCACTCCACCTTGAGAGTTGTATAAGAAAAAATTATGTTAATACAAATGACAGGGTTGTGGCTATAACAATTAATACCAAAATATTTATTGAATATAAACCTACATTGAAATTTCTTCTACGGTGCAGAAGATGATACACGTGTCAGAAAACCAGGAGATGTGTGTGTTGCTGGGGATCAAACCCAGGGCCTTGTGCACACTAGATAAGTCCTTTACTGCTGAGCTACACACACAGCCCTTAATAAATCTTTATTGCACACCAGTCATAAATAATGTATTTTTGTACTATTAAGAACATAAAAATGAATCACACATGGTCCCTATCCATATGGAGCTTATAGTCCAGTCATTACAGTCACTTCTGTCCACACATGTACAGAGTGTAAGTACTGAGAGATAAAAAGTGATAAGGAACTATCTGAAAAATATATGACAGTTTCTTGCAAAAACTAAGCATATACTTAATAATATAACTTAGCAATTGAACTCTAGGCCATTAATCCCAGAGGAGTGAAATTTATGCTCATACAAAAACTTATACATGAATGTTCTAAGAAATTTTATTCGTAATGGCACCAAAACTGAAAACAACTGAAATGTCCTTCGATGGGTAAATGGTTAAACAAACTCTCAAATATTCATAGCATGAAATACTTCTCAGCAATAAAAAAGAATAAGCTATTTATACACAAAAACTTGCATAGATCTCAAAGGAATTGTGCTGAATGAAAAAGCCAACCTGAAAAGGTTATATACTATATCGTTCTATTTATGTATACTTGATATGGTAAAATTATACAGATGGAAATCAGATGATTGCTTGCCAAAGACTTGGTCAGGGGATAGGGTCAGGGACGGATCCAGGTAGCAGTAGATAGGTAGAATCTTGTGGTCAAGCATCTTGACTATAGGGATGATCACACAAATCTATATAGGTGATACAATTACATAGAACTAAGCACATTCTCATGCAAACACACATTGTTATATTTTTAAAACTGGTGAAATCTGAATAACATTGATAGTTGGTCTTCATGTCAACTTTCTGGTTATGATATTGTACAATAGTTAAGAAAGCTGCTACCATTGCCAGAAACCGAGTAAAAGAATTTTTCTGTATTGTATCTTATAATTGAATGCAAATCTATTCAATAATCACCTAAAATAGTAAAGAATTTCATAAAGGAGGAAGTTACATATTTGGGGAATCAATCGTGGAGGAGGCAATATTGGAAGTATGCTGTAGATTTTATTATAATCTGGGAAATGCATCATTAGGCTGTTTTGTAAGTGAACAAACATCAAAGCATATACTTACACAAACTTAGATGGTACACATCAGTCATTTGACCCAAAGTGGATAAGGTGACCACTGGCAAAACATGTCATAACGTTTTACAATATTTTTTACAGGGAAAAGGACTATACTCTAAAATAGCAATTAAAAGTACAGTTTAGTAAATATATTAACCATTAATTTAGTTGCTTATTATCATTATTTACTGATGTAGTTGCATGTGCTATACTTCTATATAACTGGCAGTGGAGTAGGTTTTTTTTTTTTTTTTTTTTACCAGCATCACCACAAATGCATTGCACTTCAACATTGTGAATGGTGCAATAAAACAAGATGATAGGAATTTTTAAATTCTATTATAATCTTATGAATGCATCGTCTTAGATTGTAATCTGTCATTGACTGAAATGTTATTATGTGGCACATGACTATAATAAAGCATGATGCAAAAATAAAATATCCATTCAACAACATTAATTGAAAGATTATCATACAGAGAAAACTTTAGTGTGTACTATGGGAAGAGATAAAAGATACTGAAGAGAAACCTCCTGGATTCTCTTTATAAATTTTTGTATTTGCTCATTTTAGATATACATGACAGTAGAATGTATTTGGACATATTATACACACATGGAGTAGAACTTTCCATTCTTGTAGTTGTACGTTATATGGAGTTACACTGGTCATGTATTCATATATGAACATAGGAAAGTTATGCCCAATTCATTCTACTGTTCTCCTAAACTCTTGTACAATTAATAAACATTAAAATCACAACTTCTTAACCTCTAAAGCCATGGTTAATACATAGTCAAGAATACCAAAACTCACTATCAGTTACTTTCGGAAAAAAAAGCTACTGTTTGATTTATTGATTTAATAAAGTTTTATTTATACAAATGTGCAATTGGTTGGACCTGTTCATTGCATTTTCACCAGCAGCTGGGGCATCTCCATCCTTGGTATTTCTGGTATAAATTTCTTGAGCTCTGTGCTTTGAGACCAGTTTGAGAAGTCCTTTACTGAGGAGCTCCTGAAGGGCTTCAGTCTCTCAGAGACAACAGCTGGAATTTGGGACCTTCCTTACAGAGTTTGACAGAAGTAGCTTTGTCTAAAAGACTGGTTGATGAGCTTGTTCCGACTTTGCCTTTGAACCACTTTTTTTTGGCTTAGCCCCAGATTTGGTCACTGGGTCTGTCTTTTGGGGCCAATTTTCCCTCATCTTTTTTTTTCCTTGTCCTTAGGAAGCATTGTGAAGTACAGAGAGCAGTGGCTGCTACTGGAGCCTCACCACAATGTTACACAAAAAGGCAAATCTACTATTCTAAAAATATGGTACTGCATTATCTATTTCTCTATGCACATGAAGTTTGAACTATTGCTCATATTTTCACTGAGATCCAAAACCCTATTTCTCAAATCTCTTGCAAAAGGAAATACCAAAAATATTTTTCTAAGGAATTTAATTCACTTATAAAATTAAACTTCTAAACTTTCTCTTTAATTTAAACCCCTTCAAGTTTGTTTGCAGAGGGAGTTTTTCAAATCATGTATCATATATTTTACTTTAGTTTGGAATCTAACCCCTAGAAATATAGAAAATACTAATAATGATGTCAATTTAAATGAGATATTCATAAATTCACTTGCAAAGATGAGTTCTATTATTTGTTTTTGCAAGGCCCTTATATGGAATATTGACTACGGTTTTCATTATTACTTGAAAGTACAGACATCCTTAAATCCAGATATCCTTTTACACTAATATTCTCATAGCTTGAGTGTGCCACTTAGTGGCCCAACTTCAGAATATACTTGGAGAATCAATTTTTAAGGGACCACTGTAGGTAATTTAGTTTGAAATATATTTATATCTTTGTATGATAGTCATCATTTCCCTCAAATTTCCCCCCAAATATTATATGAACAAGATAGTTTATGCAAAATATTTAACACTTATGTCAGCTTTCATACCTTATTTCATATCTCATTTTAGACAAGTTCCCAAATTTTATCATTTTATATGACAATGTTATTTGGGTTGATAAAAATCAAATTTTTTCTGCTGCTATTCTTTTTCAAAGTGGCTATTGTATAATACAGAACATGCATGTTCTGTATACATAGAGGAAAGGGTAACCAAAGACTCAGCACAATCTCATCATTAACAAATCACATGTCCTAATTTCAATATGGTCTAGATCATTTGAATGTTGTGTCTTTAAAGACTCAGTAAACAATTACCAAAATTATTACTGTGAAGGTGGCCAACATTAGGCTTTTACTCTTCAGTCTTATATCTAGGCAACTAGAATTCAGTGCTGCATTAGATGTAGGAGGAAGGCAACTTCAGAACGTATTCCCTATCATATCCTCCCATCTCAGTGCAGATGAGTTTAGCAGGGCCACTAGTCAAACCAAGACTGGAAACAACAGCAGAGAAAGCATATTTGCAATCATCTCAAAGTGGAGGCCTGAGCCCCAGCTTCAGGTGCATGACTACAGCTACACAGTAATGCCCAAGCCTTATTCCCTTCAAGGTTTTGCAGTTTGAGAAAGCTTTAGATGCACAAGCAGGCACTTATTGATCCCATTCAGTCAAGGCCATTTCAGTCAATAGTTTAGACAGATTCTTTCTCCATTACCTCCTGTTCAACCACATAATTATTTTAGTACATAAGGTATGCCAGTTGTTCTCAAATAAATTTTCATTCTAGTCTCAAATTTTTAAAGAATTTTCAGTGAGTTTACTAATAATATGTTCCCCATCTTCCATTTCTTCATGGATTATTATATTATACTGTCAAGCAAATAGGTGATTCACTTATTTCACTATTATCGTCTTGAAACCTTCAACAGTGCAATATTAAATAACTATGATTCACTTTAACTTGTCCAGAACATTAGAGAAAGTTTGTGTAATTACTGTAGTCACAAAAAAAAGATCATTTTCATTTTTATCTTTGAGGTTGTTTAAAAATAAAAATAAAGCTCTTTTGGTTTCTCTCTGTATTTCTAACTTAGTTTCCTTTCTTTCTCCATCTTTAAATGTTGGATAGTCTGCTGTTTCTGTTAGATTGATCTTCCTTAATGAATATGAACATTTACCACATTCCACAAAAAAAAAAAAACTTTTTTTGCATACATAATTTTTTTCTTTTTTATATTTTCTTCCATTCCTTGTCATATACAATGAAAGTGGGAATTTCTTGCAATGAGAGAAGTTGAGGAAATGAACAGGATTATTTCAAATTGTGTATATGCACAAGGGATTTATAGTAATAAATCAAATTTTTTATGACAGAAACCTAGAAAACAAATGAATGCAGGTTGAGCAGAGTCCATCTGGTAGAATTCAAGATGCTCAGGTGTAGAGCAGAGGTAGGAAGGAAATATATGCATCAAACAGTTCAGTGAGACAGATCAGATCCTGGGAATTTGTAAGGCTTCCATAATTCTATTTCTGTAAGAATGGTCTATACACCAAAACTATATTTCATTCCACTGGACTTTTCTCTGTTAGATACCAGTTTTGGAAGCAATCCAGTCCCGGAAGGCAGTAACTCTAGTATAAACACCAGGTTTATTGGGTTGTCCACATTCGTCTCCCCAGCTTACTATTCCAGCCAGGTACCAGATATCTCTAGCATCTGAACTTACCAATGGTCCTCCAGAGTCACCCTAAAGGAAAAGAGAGAGATTAGCATTTCATAACCCAGTTCATTAGAGAGGAATTTATTATCTTTCTAAGTTTAGAATGTACAAAAGTGACGATTTGCAAAGGTCTTCAGTGTGCTCTAATAGAGGTGACACCCTATGTCAGGTATTCACACAGAGGAAGAATCCCAATACCTGGGAAATTGACTTAACCTGGAGATGCAGTACATTGAGACTGAGATTTTCCATCTTTCAAGAATAGTACTTTTAACATCTGACAAAATAACTCCCTCTACAAGTTGGCTATGTATTCATAATGGCTTAACTCCCCACAAAAGGGAGAAGAGAGTTAATTACTGATTAGGAGAGCAGATATTAGTCAGATACTTGAATTCCAATTGCAAATTTGGGCTTTCCAAGCTGGCTTAGACCTCTGATTTACTTATTATTTATTATTTATTTATTAAAATATTATTTATGCTACATTGTTATTATTTATTATTTATGAAAATTAAGTAAGGCAGTGAATGTAAAATATTTAGCCCCAGCACAAAGAAGAACTTAGGAAACACGTATATAAAACCACAAATACCAATTGATTCTATCTTACAAACCCAGGAAGTCTGTTTCTTTACATAGGTCATAAAAACAAGGTATTGGCTGATTATTTTTCAAGATCCTGGGCCTCCAGGTATTGCCCACTCATAAAGTTAGGACTGTATGAAACTCTTAAATAATTAATCATTATTTCATCACTTTGTGTAATACTTGCAACAAAGCATAGAGTTACTTTCCATTTTCTTCAGTTAAGCAATAAAGAAAATGAAGCACAGAAAAATTTAGTATTTGCTGAGATCAAAGGTAAAAAGTGTAAATTTCTCAACTTGAACTGGAGCACAGTGATCTAACTCATCTAACATGCTTCCCCACTACGTTATACTAACTTCCTTGTGACTTTCCTTTTATCCTTTAAAAATTCTAGCATTAATAATAGCTAAAATAATAAAAATATTTGAATTAGTGTGTTTGTAATTTTAAATCAATTTTTAAATCAATTAGCCAATAAGTATTTTCTGATACCCTCATATGCGGTAAGAAATATAAAGAGTATAAACACATGGTCTTTGCCTTCAAGGATCCTGGAATATGCTTCTGGAAATTAAGATTACCACATCAAGCTACTTAAAATACATAATTTTAGCAAGGCACAGTGGCACATGCCTGTAATTCTAGTGGCTCAGGAGGATCTTGAGCTCAAAATCAACCTCAGCAATTTAACAAGGCCCTAAACAATTTGGGGAGATCCTTTCTCAAAATAAAAAATTTTAAAAAGGGTTGTGGATGTGGCTCAGTGGTTAAGCCTCCCTGGGTTCAGTCCCTGGTTTCAATAAACACATAAATAATTTTAATAATTGAAACTAAAACCTATATACAGGCAGAAAAGATTGGGAGGAAGAAATACAATACGCCAGAGACAAAATCAGTTTAAGAAATAGAAATAAGCCGGGTGTGGTGGCACATGACTGTAATCCCTGTGGCTCAGGAGGCTGAGGCAGGAAGATCATGATTTTAAAACCAGTCTCAGCAAAAGTGAGGTGCTAAGCAACTTGGTGAGACCCTGTCTCTAAATAAATTACAAAATAGGGCTGGGGATGTGGGTCAGTGGTCAAGTGCCCCTGAGTTCAATCCCTGGTACCAAAAATAAATAAATAAATAAAATAAAGGAATAAAGGGGTCTGAAAATGGAGTAATTTTAAAGAAAGGAGCTATGTATTTAAAAATATTACAAGCTGATGAATAAGGTAAATTCTGCTTGTATCACAGAAAGAGAGAGTCTGTTCTATTAACACTAGTTAGCTGACATGTGACTAGGGAATAGAGGAGTTATATTCAGATAAGATGAAAGTTGTGATTGTTTATGTTTTCTCCTTAGACAGAGGAGCTAGAATAATCAAAGTAATAGTAAAATGTTCAGAAGAAAAGGAAAAAGTTCTCAGATTGGCTAAGACACAGACATAAGCCTTAGGAGCTCTCTTTTAAGAAAATATAGAGTACGTGTACCCAGTGTACCTTACCCAAAGAGATACACTCCAGATTAGTGTGGTTCTTGTGTCCTAGTAGCCTGCTGTGCTTAGGACTACAGTTCCATATTCAGTGCCTCAGGACCAGTAAGCCAGTATTTCCACTGAATTGTTTCTGTATATTTTTAACATCTCTGCTCAACCATCAGCCCCTAGTCATTCTGTCAACAATGTCCAAGTTACTTTTCAAGGTATCAATTATTAGTTTTTTTTAATTCTCCAGTTACAAAAATGCAAAGTCTTTGAAGGATCTATCTCTAGTCCTTTTTTTTCTCACAAACTTTATCTGTCCTATAAATTCTGTCATTTTTTAGTAAAAAGTTAAGTAAGAAACAGAATAGGGAGTATATTAAGGAAGGTACATATTATAACAAAAACTTATAAAGAAGTCAACCACTGTCAGGGTCAGTGTTGTACTGAAGAACTTTTGAGAATGTTGTGAATACTCTATATCTCACTTGTAAAGTTGGTTACATAAGTATACATTTATCAAAACTGATCTGATTGTACACTTAAAATAGGTACTTTTATTGTAAGAACATCATAATTCCATTAACATTGATTTTAAAGATAGCCAGATACAGTCTTATCCTGCAATAAAACTATTACAATACTTTTTTTTAAAAAAAAAAGTTAAACTAGGAGGTAATTGTAGTATTGAGATGAGATGTGAAATAATGAAGAAATAGAATAGATTGTTAATAGAAGGAAAAGAGATGAAAGAAATAAACTATATTATAAAGTGGAAAAATATTCTAGAACTTAAGCATAAAAGAGCAAAAGAAGACTCTAAGACTAGTGACCCATAATGAAAAAGTGAGAAACTTAAAAATGAAAAATTGGTTATATGATGCCTCTTGAATTTGAGCTGGCACACATACAAATTTTCACCTAATACTAACAACTTAAAACATGTAAATGGAAATGGCTTTGGACTAGGTGGAAATGTGAGACTAAATTTGGACAACAGTTAAATGCTGACAATGTGGATTTGGAAATCACTAAAGGGGCCACTGAGTTCAAAGAAAAGATGACTTCTTTGGGTGCAAATAAAAAAAAAGATTTAAAAATATATTTTAATCTGAGACCTGAATCTTGAAGGATAGTTAGGCTTACAGAGAGGGAATAAAGATGGACCAAAAGATGGAACCAAAGACGACATATGCTGATTTCTTTCCTCTCCTATAACTATAGGAGAGGAAAGAAATCAGCATATTTCAGGATCATGAGCCTAAAGGATCATGCCTTAATAAAGAAGGGTAGCCAAACACCACTAAGATGAGGAAGAGCAGACTCAAGTAAAGATATTGATGATTTTTGAGTTATATAAATATTCAGAACAGGCAAGTGGGAAAAATTGTGAATACTAGACATAAAAATGAAAGAAAAAAATAGAATGTTGTTTTCTTCAGCCATAGGAAAATAGGATATTATAATCACAAGGCTAACTTTGGTTCTTCTTTTTTACTTAGCAAAATTTTGGAAAGGACATTCAATTTTAACACCATTATCAAAATGACATTTTAGACTAGAAGACATTTTAGATGTAATTGTGTGATATATGTGATTTACTTCAAAATAGATTTAGAATTTTTGGGAGGTGAGAGGATTGTTTTAGAGTAGGTATGGATGAAATAATTTGACCATGAGTGATGGGTACATAGGGTTCATTAACCTGTTATTTTGATTTTTGTGTACATTTAAAATTTTCATAATAAAAATTATAGAAAACTGAAAAGACACGCATATATTCTAAAATTTTTTGGAAGTTACTATAAATGGAGACTGAGAAAATTGAATGATGATCATAAATGTGAATTACAAGATATTTTCAGTAGTAGTTCTAATAAAATTGGAAGCAAATAGGATAAAGATCATTAAGAGAAAAGCAGGTGTAGAATAATATCTGAACAATATTCTATGGCAGATAAAAAAGACAATAAAATACAGGTAATTCTCATTATTCATAGTAGTTGTATTCTATCAAGTCATCACAGCCTATGAATTATTGACTATTGATCATTGCTAATAGAGGAAATCTAGTTAGTTTTCCAGGAACTTATAGTCACATGTTTGTCCACTGATCAATATATAACCATGTTTTGTATGCATTTTGTTTAAAGATACCTTATTTGTATATAATGCTGATTCATTAACACTGAATGCATAGTCAATAGTACTGTAAGTCATGCCTACACAGAGCTTACCTAAAATCTGTATTTTCTCTACATGGCACATTAGAATCTTCATATACTACATTTTAGTACTAAACTTCAAGGCTACTTTAAACAGAAAAATCACCAGAAAAAAAGTGCAAATATAAAAAATGTGGCACTGAACAGACCATGAAAAGGACACCTCTTTACAGAATGAAAGATGAAACAAAAAGGCACAGTTTCACCTTTGTTGACTTTGGTGGAAGCACACGTATTGGGTATTCAAATATTTACTACTCTATTCATACTCATGAATGATCATAAAAGTGCCTTAAGTATTGAGTTTGGGTTAAAACATTTTAATGAGTAGGTGCATTTGCAAATATGGAATCCACAAATAATTAAGACTGAGTGCATTTTCAAATGACTCTTTCATTATTTGATCCCAAATTCTGTATCTGGAAAAATTGTGCTTAAGAAATGAAGGGGAAATGAAGACTTGCAAAGAAAGAAAATCTAAGAGAATTGGTCATAGCAGACCTATAATAAAATAATAGCTAAAGGGGGCTTTTAACAGAGTGATTAAAAAGAAAATAAGGGCGACTCAGAGGCTGAAAAACAGGAGGATTGCAAGTTTGGGGTCAGCCTTGGCAATTCAGTGAGACCCTTTCTCAAAAATTGAAAGAGTCTGGGATGTAGCTCAGTGATAAGGAGCTCTTTTGTTTGACCCCCAGTACCAAAAACAAACAAACAAACAAACAAAAAACAAAATTAAAAAGCCAGGACTCTTAGCAAGTCAGGGAAGAGGAAAAAACAAAAACTATGAGTAGACATTCCTTCTCCTCTTGAGTTTTTCATATTTTAGTAATTGAAGCAAAATGTTCTCTGATGTGTTTCTCAATACAGAGAGGAAATTTTAATGTTTATACATAATAATATTTAATGTTATAATTAGAGAAAGGTAAAGAGACTTAAGGGGAAAATATGTTTTCTATTCTATACTCCACTAAACTAATTAGATGTCAATAGTAGTACATTGTGATAAGCTACACATGTAAACACATAATTTAGAAGAACTACTAAAAATTTTCCAGATAGTCAAAATTATTAAGAGACAAATCAAAATGAAAATCCAGAAAAAGTAACCGTATGATTTTATTTACATAACATTCTTGGAAATTACAAATTTATAGAGATACAGGATAAATTAAAAATTGCCAGATGTTAGGGGAGGCAGAGTTATTCTTAAGGTGGATCTTTATGCTGATAAAATAGATCCTGTCTTAACTGTTAGACAAATCTCTACATGTGCCACGATGCCACAGACATAGACACACCCTTTGTTCTAGTTTGATTTCCTTAGTTTTATGCTGTACTCTAGTTAGGTGAAATGTAACCATTGGGGAAAGCTGGGTGAAGGAGGCATGTGACTCCTCTGCAATATCTTTGCAACTTCCTGAAAATCCATGGCAATTTCAAAAAAGGTGAACAAATAATTATGCAGCATACTAATAGGTAAAATCACTTACCTGACATGCATCTCTTTTTCCTTTTAAGGAGCCAGCACATAACATTGTAGAAGTTATGACACCATTGTAAACCTGAGGTTTATTGCAGATTTTTGAGTCTATGAGATTGACCTGTACTTGCCGAAGATGATTTTGAGTGTATCCTAAAGGGAAAAACATATTTGTAGATATACAATGATTTGATAAACCTAAAGAAAGTTTTTCATAATTATTAGATAAGATGGTAATATGGAATCTTAGGATATATATGTTTTAGATGCACTAATATTTGGGAACAGAATTTTTTCCAAACTAGTTTAAATGAAAATTTAGGTACCACTCCATTGTTATGATTAGAAAAAAATTTCATTTGGGGAATATAGTGTCTTTATGATTCTCTGATCTTCACAATTGGGTATATTTATGATCTTAAATCTCTTAAGTGGTTAATTCTCTAGTAAAACACTTAGGGGCTAGGAGATATACTTGATCTTTCAGACACCTTACTGGCATCATTACTGTAGCAGTAGTGAGGCAATTAATAGTAACCTAAGGCAGAAAGGATTTATGCATCTTGGAAATGCCAGAGTCTGGCTCAGTCCAGGTTTGTATGAGTGATGAACCTACTTTTGGCATAAAAACGCTGCTCTTTAAATGCCTTTGAAAGCCAAATTAGGTTAATCATAATTAAGCTTCAGTTCAGATGCCCACCATCAGTTTGCAGTACTCCAAATCCTGTCACAAACATCTCATCCCCTGGGTGGAACTCATGGGTTGCATCAGGGAGACAAATTCTATGTACTGCATTTGTGTAGGGAACAGGACTAGAAAGCTCTGCCAGTGAAATATCATATTCATGTGACGGGTATTTGTATTTTTCATGGACAATTATTCTCCGGAGGCCTTTTTTCATTTTTGGAGGTTGTATTGTTACTCCAAATGAAGCAGTCCATCTGGATGGGTCTTTATACCTAGGGAGAAAAGAAAGAAATGAGAGACTCCAGTTTACTATACTACCTATCTAATAATTTAACCAGCAAGTTTCAATATGAGTCTTGTTTTTTAAAATAATAGCTTCTGTCTACAGATATAAACTTTTTCCAATCTGAGAATAAGACTGAGGGGTCAGATAATGTGGAGACCAACATGGCACATTTCCTAGGTTATATAACAAGTCACCCACTTCAGATCCTTGGGCCTCTTGATGTTTCGGGGCATTTATGACTCCAAAGAACATCTGAAGAGAAATCTTGTACAGAATAGGAGAACTAAATGTATTCCTATGCCTCCTGTCCCCTGCCCACAAACATACAGGTTTCTTTGAAAACCATGAAGGCCACACTATAATTTAATGAAACATTACTATTTTATATACTGTAAACATTTTGACACTGGATTGAAAAGTCTTCCATTCCTTGTAATATAACTACTCAATGTGTTCAATTGTCTAGTTTACTACTTTCAAATTGAACAATCCTAATTATCTTTCTTTCTCCATGGAATTTTTCCACTGAGGTTAAATCTACAATCTTCTCAGCTCCATCTCTAACCAAGTTACTCAGTGAGTATTCAGCTTTTATACTTTAACTTCAAGTTCAAAGAACATAGATGATTTTAAAGTTCTTGCTTTCTTTGACCAACTATCATATATTTATTGATGGATAATTTACCTACAATAATTTATAGACCATAAAACCTTTAACTAAATTTTGTGATATTCTTACAGCATTTTGTGATGAACATGTTTTCTTTTAATTTATACTAAACTCATCTCTCTCAAAATTCATGAGCTATTTCACAAATAAAAAGTGCAAAACCCAATGCCCTTTGTTCACCCCCAATCATTTTCAGTGTTCAGGACTTACATTCGAAAGCAGTGAGCAGCACTCACAAGCCATGTACTATTGATTAAAGTTGCTCCACAGCGATGGGTCCCATCCCACTGTAGGCTGGCTTGCCACGGCCATTCTCCCTCCTCTACCTCTGTCCCACCAACAATCCTGAGACTTTCTGTTGAAGATTTATTCCTTCGTGTCCCACAGCCTGCCAAAAGGAGATAATGAACTAATTAGAGTTGTTCTAAGCATCAAATTGTATTACTACATCCCAAATTGTTGTACTTAGCGTTCTGATGGTATCAAATATTTTCTGATGTTCTTATCTTTCTGTAAACTCTAATAAACTCCTATTCATCTTGTAAGATTTAAATTAGCCATAATCTCTCCTAAGATAATTATTAATTTCCATGCCTCCAAACTGGACTAGTTATAACTTCTTTGATGCTTCCTTAATTAAAAATAACAAAAACAACAATGACACACTATGTGTGTGCTTATCATGTATTTATATGTGTGTATGCATGTACTTATGTTTTTATATATTTTATTCCTCAACATTGTTTATTACAGAGTTTCTCAACCATTGACATTTTGAACCATATAATTCTTTGTTGTGGGTATTTGTCCTGTGCATCACAGAATGTTTAGTAGGATCCCTGGCCTATACATCATAGATGTCAGCAGCACTCTGCATATTTGGGGGTAGGGGACAGCAGTGACTCCAAGGAACATATGTAAAGATGAACTTGTATAGAATGCGTCAGCATTTTCAAAATATGGGTAAAAATGTCACAATGAGGCATGATATCTAGAGCAACAAAATTGTTGAATACTGTTATTTTAGAATCATGTACTCATGCATCAGGCTCAGGCATCTATCTACACCCATTAGAGTGTGAGCTGCTTTAGGCAGAGGTTTTATCTTATCCATTTTGTATCCCTATGTTTAACAGTACCAGCACATAGTAGGCTACTAAAAAATATTGATGGCAAGAATATATATTCCACTTAGATGAGAAAATTATATTTTGGCTCCATGTTTAATTAACTTTAGAAATTAAGCAACATTCTGAGCTAGTGAGTAGCACATTTCCTTTCATTTTTTGAAGAAAAACATAGTACATGCTAATTTTGTAACTAGTAAATATCTTCTCTGAATTATGGTGGGGTTCTCTTCTATAGGGAAGGACTAGAAGTAGAGTAGGCATTTTAAAAATATGGGTAAAGATATTGTCTGGGTTATCTGTAATTTAATCAAAATAAACCTCAACCCTGTAAATTGCCTGCAATTTCCATATTATAAAATTAATAATATCAAGGAAATTTTATTCAGGGTATAGTGGTGATCAGTCTCTGCCTCTAGCTGAAAAATATACAGATCACTTTTATATAATCTTTAGAAAATTTTTGTGAGAGGAAATTATAGATATCTGCAAATAGAACATTGATAAGCAAACATTTTTTGCCTCTTCCTTAATAGTTGCAGAACTCACTTCCACTATACATGGCCACAGGCCACAGGCACCTATAAATCCTCTCCAGAGTGATCCCAATTTTGCTATTCTTTTGTGCCCCTGAGAGGTAAGATAAAGCAGTCTGAGCTGTGCTCAAATCAGTCAAACTTTATTCTGTCCCTACAATAGCAACACAAAGTGAGAGTAAAGGTTAAAGAATGTTAATTTTTGACATTAAGTGATGTGATCAAACATTCTGAACTAGTTGCATAGCTATATGTATTTATATTATTTATATATTAAATAATTTAAATTTATATATACTATTTATATATTAAACTTACAATTGTTCAGATAGTGGTCTGTTTCTGTCTTGTTGATTTCTGAAATACACAAAAATGGTGAATAAAAGAAGGTTAGCACATCAGAACTGCACTGTGCCTCTGAGCATTTCAAATACTAAAAGGCTGATAAATTTCATTATAGATAGTGTCTCTGGGTGATAATAAAAGCAGCATAGTTAGTGTTTTATTTGTTTGTTTGTTTGTTTTTTGCTTTGGATATTAGAAGCAAGACAAGCAGTGTGTTTTAAACTTTATTTTGGATAACAATCACATAGGGAGCATATTTATAACATAGATTCCTGTTTTTCTTCCCAGTAATTCTGTTTTAGTAGTTTTGTGGTGAAGTCTTAAAACATGAATTTTTGTGTCAGAAGATAAGATCCAGGTAGTTCACAGCCCCTGTTTGGAAAATACAAATCTAAACCATAGTACTGAGTCCCTGAATGAAATAACAGTTTTACTAACCATTATTTCAAATTATTTTACTAAACTCAAAAGCATAGTCCACTTATATAATACATCAAGTGGCATCTTCATGAATTACCCATAATCACATTTAAGAATGTTATCCTTTTCTAAGTCTCTTTCTTCAGAAGTTTTAGAAAGATAGTCTGCCCTCAAATTGTCATTCAATTCAAGCCAATGACTTCATACCTTGTTGACCTCTCAGCGGTCAGGACCTAACCCTACGCAAATGCTAACCCAACCAACTGAAGCAGGCCAGAGTCCCCCACCCAGAAGAACCCTGCCATAACTAAGCTTCTCCAAAGACCCTCAAAAAATTCTGTTTAGCATAATTGTTCTTAGACTATCAGCAAGAATTTCTACAACAGAGTTTTCAGTTGGAGGGTATGTTTGTAGAGCCAGAGTGTGATAAGGGACTCAAGGCCTGCAGCCTGGGTCTGGAGCCTTTACAGAGGCTTTTGTCTCTCAAAGGACTATGATCAGGTCCTGCAGAGACAGCTGGTGGGAAGAGAGGGGAGGAGGACTCTCCCTTTCCCAGACACTGATTTTCACAGAGAGTGCCTTTGGCCTGAATTGGATGCCCAGAACAGTGAAAAAGCTGCTTTTATGTATACTTGTACAGATTGTGAGCCTCTGAGTCCCTCCCCTTAAACACTGGGTATAAAGTTCTAAAACTTTCTAAACTTGGGGTTCAGAGGAATAATTTGATGAAGGCAGAAAGCTCCCCTTTTGAGCCTGACTTCAGCCAATGAACCTGCTTCCTTCTATCCCTTGGTGTCCTGCCTCATCTGTCCTACATCACAACAAATACATAATACTCTAAATTTCACATTTCCTGACTTAGTAAATTTCCAATAACCAAAACTATTCTCTGTGAACATGGCAGGATGGGATATTCTAAATGCAAATATATTAACCTATTCATTTTTCTTTTAGTCTTGGTTATTATTGTTTTTTTGGAAATTTGTATTCTAGAAAGCCTTCTCTCTGACTTTCTCCATTTAGTTATATGTAGAGAAAATGATGAATATAAGAAAAAATTGACCATTTAGCCTCAGTTATTATTAAGGGAGCCATCTCTGATCTCTCATTCAGATAACCTGTTCTTCTCCATCCCAAGCTCCTCTGAGGGAAATCTCTGTCTGGCTTTGTATATTGCTACTGCTGACGAGGCAGGTCTCAGAGATGGGTGACTTGTGCTGCTGCACTGTATCCCGCCCTCAGCTTGGTTCTTGGTTTAATGCTTTGCTGTTGCTGACCTGAAATTCTTACTAATTTTTCCTGCAACTGTGATTTGAAAATGAAGTCAAACAGGATAACGGAGCATATTGTGGGAAGAGGAGATACACACAATTTGTGTGTCCATGGATTCTTGCCACTCCACTTGCGTATATTATTCACAATGCCCTATGAAATCAGAACTCTGGTGGGGCCATGATGGGTGGGAGTTCAGCAAGACTCAAAGCAGTTATATACAAGATAAGTGTATCATGAATATCACTAAGAACTGGGACACTGACAGTCTTGGGAAACTGCCTTCAGCTTGCTAATGGATGAGGAAGGACTAAAGAGAAGAGGAACTCCAGATTTTCTTTTCTTTTCCTTTCTATTCACATCATTATTTTCACAAAAGCCATTGACTCACACACAAAAGTAACAGGAGCCTAAAAGGATATTCCAAGCATTTCCAAACCTAATGAGGTTGTTTAAATCTATGGATATGAATCCTGTAGATGTGGAGGGCTGAATATACTTGCATGAATGAATCATGAAATGTAGTTCCTTCTATATCTATAAGGAATTAGTTCTAAGTCACCCCTGCAGGTATCAAAATTCACTGATGCTCAAGTTTCTTATATAAAATACACACACACCCTCTTATATACTTAAATCTTCTCTAGGGTATTTACAATACCTAATATAAAAACTACATGAATAATTGTTATACTGTGCTGTTCAGGGAATAATAACAAAACAGTCAGTAAGTGTTCGGTACAGACACAAGTTTTTCCAAATATTATGTTTATAAATACATTGTGGTTTTTGACTCTACAGATATGAAATAAAGCTTCATAATTCTGATGATTCTACATACATGCTAAAATATGAAGTCTAAATTAAAATGTGATTATGAGTATAAATGTGCTTACAATTACATTTAAAATCAACATTGCACAGGGCTCGGTGGTGCACACCTGTAACTCCAGCCTCTCTAGAGGCTGAAAAAGCAAATTCAAAGCCAGCGGTGGCAACTTACTGAGAACCTCAGCAACTTAGCAAGACTTTGCCTCAAAATAAAAATTTAAAAGGACTTGGGATGTAGGTCAGTAATGAAGTTACCCCTGGGTTCAATCCCCTCTACCAAAAAATAAAATTGGCATTACATTATATAAAGATGAAGGGTAAAATTCATACTTGCAATTTAAAAATTTATTTTTTTCATTTAGAATAATATTAATTATTAGTAAGTAAAAAATACTATAAAAAATAAAGAGAGAGGCCATAGCTATAAGAAAAGTCTTATATTTTATTATATTAACAGCACTTTTGTTGCTTTTTGAAAAAAGGCCTGGCATTTTTATTTTGCACTGGAACACACAAATTATGTAGCTCATCCTACTACAGCTGTGCCTCCTTTCTAAGCTACTAGGGTGACTTAAATCTATCAGCTTTTATGTTAGCACTCTGTATTCATTCTCTCTACTTGTTCCCTATTCTCTAGTCTCAAGTGCTACCATGTTCATTACTATATCCACAAACCACATGTGACCAGTGAGTTCCTGAAATATGAAGTCTAAATTAAAATGTTTGATCAACATAAAATGCACAGTAGGTTTCAAAGTCTTAATTGTAAGATATAGCAAAATTAAGCATGGAGTTATAATTTTTCATTGTTAGTGTCTAAGGAAAGAAGCTATAAGATGGTATATTAATAACGTTTGAAAGAAAATATATAAATGGCATGAACCTTTCCAAACACTACTCCAGAACATAAAATGGATAAAAGAGGAAAAAAGAAAAGGGATATACAAAGCCACTATTTATAATCAGACTCTATAACCAAAGTATAAGGCCCAATATAGAAGAAACTGCCTAAGATTTAAGGACCAGCTTTCATGGAAACCATACATTTAGCATGCTTTTAAAATATTAAAATATGTTATTAGGACTAATATAGTTTAAAAGCAATATCCTGTTGGTAGCAAGACCCTACCATGTTTTTTTAGGACATCTAAAAAAAAAAAAAACAACCTAAAAATGAGTGCTCAAGTCTAACATGGAATTGTTATATGTAACAAATAAACAAAATAATAGAAATCAACTTACTTTTAATTTCAACTGATTCAGGGTCGACATTAGGGGGTCCTGCAACATTTTGCAGCTTTTCGTGTAGAACATTTTCAATAATATTATTTATGGTTTCAGGATCCTCAGTAGAGGGAAATCTAAAAATCAGCAGCATATGGGCCAAAACTCCATCTGACTCTTGACTGTGGACCAAAAATATAAAGAAAGGAAGAAAATAACAGAAGGAAGAGAGGGACGGACGGAGGGAGGGAGGGAAAGAGAGAGTGATTGATTTATGATACTATCACAACCAGCTTTCCTCATCATTCAGTTGAAACACATACACACACATACACATACACACACACACATACACACACACACATACACACACACATACACATACACAAATGCAGTCCATAAATATTTCTTTCTATATTTCTGTTGTTTATTTTGTATAGAACCCATTTCAGCCACCCTGATGGTAAGGTAGTATGCTCATGGTATCCCTTACGACCAAAGGGTCTAGTTAAATACACATCTATTAACATAAAAAGACATGTATCTCATCAACCATTCAAAATTACCAAATGGAATGTGTGGTAAATATGAAATCAGCTGTATTGTTGGCTTTCAGATTTAATTCCTGTGACTTAAATCCGTCCATCTTTCCTAAGCAAACTCAGGCTCTCCTACACAACTCTGAATCCTAAGTCTTTTGGAAAGCTTCACCATGCTGTATGGCTTCATGTGACCGTATTTTCAAGAGTGTATTAACTAATTCACCTTGACACTGCTTATACAAGTGACCACCTCTTGATAATTCTGCCAGCCACCTGACCTGTCCTTTTCACAGTTTCCAAAGAATCTTACTCCTCTCTACACACTGCATCGACTCTTAATTTCATAAACTGCAAATGGGAATATAAGTATAAATGAGAATCCTATTCTAGAAGTCATTTTTGTTTAATATATTTTTGAATATGTTAAAATGACAGCATTTGCCTCTTTTGGAAGTTAAATATTCAAATATACTATTCATGTGCAAGACTATGAGTATAAATGTATTCATTATAATCTTGTTTTTAAAACAAAAATAAGTAACAAATGTCCATAAATAGGGCATTGGCTAAATTAACACTGTCCTACACTTGAGTGAAATATTATATGGTCAGTTAAAGAATAAAAAGATTTATATACAGTCATTGGAATGATGTTGGCAATAAATTGCTGAACATGTGTTATTTCTGGGAGTGGACTTGTTGGACAAGAGGCTGTCATTTTCTATTAAAATACTGTGCTGTTTGGATTTTATATAATTTCATATTACTTTTGTAGTCTGAAAGAATATAGGATTCATAAGCCCTTTCTGCCTCACCAACCCTATTCTTTCTTTTTCTTAAACTAATACTGTTCTGGCTGGGTGATAAGAAAAACAAACAAACAAACAAAATCCTTCCTGCCTGTTATTCAGTTTATCTCTCACCTGTTTTATCACAGCACACTTTTAAAAGTCTGCTTCTTGCCCTCATTTCCACTGAACTGTTTTTCTATTGGAACACTAATGTCTTCCTAATAGACACCTCCAGCAGATTCTTTTCAACATGTATATTTTTTTGTCTCGGGAGTATTTGTTGAAGTCCACCATTCTCCTCTTGAAGCTTTTTATCTTTAGTACCAGTGGAACCTCTTTCAGAATTTTTCTTTTTTCCTGGTTCTTCCCATTTTTCTTCCATTCCCATAAATATCGTATCTTTCAAGTTTTCTTCATCATTCCTGTTTTTCCTAACAAATTTACACACAGGATTTCCAATATTTTGAATTTATAATAAGCAAATTTATATCTTTGGCTTAGATTCCTTTCCTTCCCCAGGTCAGACTATTTTTCAGGCTCATATGTTGCTTTTGAATCTTAACTCCACATCTCTAAAACTGAATGTGCATGCACAGGCAGTAGTTAAGTGAGAAAGTGGTTCTGAATGGAGATAGAAACTTGGATTCCAACAGTATATGCAGCCATGTGGGTGAATGAGGTTTCTTTGAGTCCGTAAAAATTTAAGGATCAGAGAAGTAGAGGCAGATCCAACAACAGATACTATCTGAACACCAGAAAGTAGAGGATTTTCAAGAAGAAGTGGTCAGAGTAGTACCTGAGAGATGTGAGCTAGGAAGTAACTCTTAGAGTTTTGTTGCTGGCATAATACTACAAATAGTTCTCTTTTTTAATATTTATTTTTTAGTTGTAGTTGAACACAATACCTTTATCTTATTTATTTTCATGTAGTGTTGAGGATTGAACCCAGGTCCTTGCACGTGCTAGGCAAGTGTTTTACCACTGAGCCACAACCCCAGCCCTGCAAATAGTTCTTATTCTATTTTTTGAAAATTACAAATAATTTGTATTGAGAGAATACATTATTTAAAGTCCTCATATAGCAATACATTGTTTAAAATGTTATGTTCTGAACTTTATTGATAGTAGATTAGCTAACTACTTGAAGCATACAGAGGTAGAATACAAGAAAATAAATAAAATTGATAAGGAAGAGAATCAAGAGCTGAAGACAAATCTTATTTACCACACTGTTCACATAGAACACTACTGTTAAACCAAAGCATGTGTGTTAGGTTCCCAATTGTGCTAGTTTCCAAGAAAACAAGTTTGGAGCAGAGGCATGGATGACAACTCTGTCCCTTTGTAAGCATTTTGCAAATGCTAGCTTTTAGATACAGAGAATGAGTAAGGGGCATTATAAACCATGACTCACACAGAATAGGTGCCAAAAAGTGTTTGCTAAATGCAATTACATCATACCATTAATACTTTAAAACATATTTATTGCAGACCCGGCTAACAGTTTCAGCTTTAAATTAAATTCAGAAGTCAGCATACCTGAACTTGATAATGTGAGACTTGATAAGTTCTCCCCTTAATGGAGATTGATAAAATGCATTTTTGACCTGTTCAAAAAATATTTAAAATGTGTTAGCAAGTATAATTTTTTTAAAATTCCACAACTTAATTCAAAGCTCTAGGGAACATTTAAAAAAAAAATGTAAAATGAAAGACAGTGACTGACATTTTGCAATGAGCTGAACTTGAGGAACCTTTCTTGGTATTCATCCCAGAGATTTCAACTGAACTCTGCTTTGAGAATGATAGGAGGTGGGGAACCAGTGAGGTCACAAGTGACATCTGCTGTAGTATTCAGAAAGACATCATAAAAAATGGACATTTTTTTTCATGAAAAGTGAAAGTATGTATACTCTGATATAAGAACTGCTGTAGGTCTACAAAGGAAATGAAATAATTCTGTCAACTTTTTCAACCTAGTGAAAAAGTTGCTAAGTATCCTGGCATAATGTGAGACCAGCTCAAGCATTTAAAATGCTCTGGAAAAGGCCCATTGAACTAGAATGTATAACACACACACACATCTGTGATCTGAGAAGCTTATTTTAATAAGATGAAAGAATTTATTGTGGCGATGTTTGTTACTAACTACAAACAAATAAGAATTCTAGAGACTTTTTTTTTTTAATCGCAGTACTGGAGGTTGAACCCAGGGCCTTGCACATGCTAAGCAGGTGCTCTACCACTGAGCTAAATACCTAGCCCTTTTTACATTTCCAAAAAATATTTATTTTGAGTCAGGGTCTTGCTTACTTGCTAAGGTGTCCTTGAATTTGTGATGTTCCTGTTTCAATCTTCCAAGGCACTGGAGATTACAGGCTCATGTCACCACACTTAACTTTAATTTTTTTAATTTGGACTATATGCAGGTAAGTAATTCAAATGTTTCTTGTTTCCATTGTGTGTATATTTACTAGATACAGATGCTCCAAGCTGGTGATTAATTGACAGAACAATGAGCCTTTTTATTCTTTCTTATATTTCATAGAATCCTAAATAGGACAGTTTCTACAGTTATGAGACAAATCAGTACAAATAAGTTCTGTGAATATTTTATTTACTTATATTTATCAAATAATTTCAAAGCTATTATTAGTTTTGAAGATATTAGAGTCCTGCCTATATTCCTTTAGATTTATATATCAATTTGGATCTGGATTTTGGCAAATGACACAGAGAACAGGGAAATAGTTACTTCTTTTCTTGACTTCTTAAGTTCCATTTACTTTTATATCTGTAATTGGCCTTAGAGAAGAACTTTATACATTCCTCTAATTGACTGTTTGCGAATGTAACCAGGATTGACCCCCTTCTCAGCAAGGTGTCCAAATGCTCTGGCTTCCAGTCTGCTATAGTTTCTAGGGATAGGAAGAGTGTGTGGTCCAGCTATGATGTGGATATGATTTGAGTGTCTTCCTGATTTGAAATTTAATCCCCATTGTGAAGCATTACAGGAGTGGAAATTCAAGCTCACTCTGACATTTAGCAGTGAGCATTCGGGAGGCAATTAGGATTAGATAAAGTCATTTTTGTGGAGACCCATGATGGAATCCTGGTGACTACAGAAGAAGAGAGAAAAGGTACAGCGAGGTATGCCTGTAATCCCAGATACACAGGAAGGCTGATATAGGAGGATCATAAGTTCAAGAGCAGCCTGGGCAATTTAGTGAGCTGCTGTCTCAAAATAAAAAATAAAAAGGGTTGGGAATATAGTCCAGTGGCAGAGTACCCCTAGCTTCAATCCCCAGTACTTCAGGGGGGGGGGCTGAAAACTCACATACACATGCATGCTCCCTATCTCTTGCTATATGATACCCTGGGCTACCTTAGGACTCCATCAACAAGAAAGCTGGACTTTACACCTCCAGAATTGTGAACCAAAATAATCCTCTTTTCTTTATGAAGTAACTTGTCTTGGGTATTTCATTATAGCAAAGAAAACAGACTAATACAGATCACTTCCATTCTGTTCTTATTCAGGATATTGGAAATGGAAGACAATTTGGAAATTATGTAATTTAACACTGTAATTTTCATATAAAGAAGTTTATCCAGAAAGATAAAGTGATATTCCAAATGACACTTCACAGATGGTATTAGAATTAGATGTCCCAATTCCTAATTCAGGATGTTTTTTCCATCACATCATACCTCACAGACTATCAAGAAAAATCCAAATTATTCTTTAAGTTATCTGATAGTGATGAGAATTCATCACTCAGGCCTTTGTTCTTTTAGCCCATTCTGCAAAATTTTCTAGTTTCTTAAATATTTGATTAAGCCCTCAAAATAATGTTGATACCTTACAGACAGAGATCAGTATTTGTGGATTTCCTGTAAATTTGTGTGCCAAAAGCAAGTTCAAGGTTAGGTAGTTTTAAAAGCTAAACTGCTATTCATGTATGCAGCCAAATAGTTCCAATCTTGGCAATCTTTGCCCAAGGTCTCTTCTTTAGGAAATCTAGAGTGCAACAAAGCATTTGAATCACCTTCACAGTCCCAGAGTTTCTGGACTCTGTTGAAGGAGAATATTACACTGATTAAGGAACGGTGAGTAGGAAGGACACATGAATGGCTGATGTTCACTTGGTTCAGCTTTTGAAGACATACTCTTCTAACTGAGGGTTTCTGCCTCTTACCATTTTGAAAGGTATGCAAGAAGCAATTGAATGGATATTTTAGAAGGTAGGATACTAAAATGTACAATAAAGAGTGATAGCAAATGTCCTAAAAGTAGAGGAAAAAAATTGCTTACCATTGATTCAATTCTTTGACTCATTTCTGTGAAATTTTTAGAAGCTTCTCTTCCAAACTCATTATACAGTTTGTCACTGGTGAATGGCAATATGCTATAGTAATTGTAGGTCTTCCTTTGATCTACAAAGAAAGAGACAGAAGTCCATCATAATTTTTTATCAGATGTGTGTTTAAACACCATTATTATCCCATTTGGTGGTTGCTAGAAAGACTAAGACAGGGAGGAATGCTCTTACCCAGGTCATCCTCTTCATCATCCTGCCCCGGGCTTATCTCAGAAGATGAGAACATTTGTCAACATATGAGTTAGAGTGCAAAAGCTGTAAGGAACACCTGGTGTTCCTGGAGCATTTTAGCAATACCACATTGGCCTTATGGGCTGATTACTCATGTATTCTCCATTCCTGAATAGGCCACCTGAGCACACAAACAAGCATAGATTCAGAAGCTTCCCAAGATTGAATGCCTTTCTATATTCCAAAAGTAGACTACCCCCCCCCCCCAGTAAACTACAGTAAACTACACATCAATTCTGGACGCTGTGTGAGAAAATTTATTTTTAGCTAAAAGGCAAAATGAGGATAGGAATTAAAGTGCTAGGGATTCACTTTAGGGAGCTAGAACTGCCAACTTTCATAACATTCCGAAGACAATATTTAGTTTCACCTGGGACCCTTGTCCCTCCATTTATTTTCTCCACCACCTGCAGATGTCTTGTCATCTTAGCTACTGTCTCCATTTTTGAATCCAATTTAAGCAGCCCACACTTTTGACCTACTGAAGGGTTAATGCGGTATAGCTTTTTCTCTACCCTCCTAAACGTGAAGCAAGCACAGAGCCTTCAGTAACTCATCCACTCGTTTGATGAATATATATGCCAACTGCTTTTCTGTGAGAGACACTGTTCTAAACATCAGGAATACAGTAATGAGCAAGAGAGTTGTGTATGCTCATTATAAGAGACTGTACCTCATCCACTTTCAGTCTCTCTCCTCTTCTAGGTTCTTTCCCATTCTTTTCCTCTTTATTTAAACCCCAGAGGAAGAGCACACAAACCAGTGGCTCAGGCATCTTCATATATCACATTTAATTTACAATAACACCCTCATGGGGAAGCAGAATTAACAACACTTAGAGGGTTCCAGTCTGAGAAATATAAATAATTTGCCCAACCCCAATGTGACACAGCCAGAAAAGACAATTGAATTTCTTTTTTGTATTTTTTTTTAATTTTTTATTGTTGGTTGTTCAAAACATTACAAATTTCTTGACATATCATATTCCACACTTTGATTCAAGTGGGTTATGAACTCCCACCTTCACCCCATACACAGATTGCAGAATCACATCAGTTACACATCCATTGATTTACATATTGCCATACTAGTGTCTGTTGTGCTCCGCTGCCTTTCCCATCCTCCACCCTCCCCCCTCCCCACCTCTCCCCTCCCCTCCCCTCCTCTCTCTCTACCCCCTCCACTGTATAACCCTGAGGGTCTCCTTCCATTTCCATGCAATTTCCCTTCTCTCTCCCTTTCCCTCCCACCTCTCATCCCTGTTAAATGTTAATCTTCGTCTCCTGCTCTTCGTCCCTACTCTGATCTTAGTTACTCTCCTTATATCAAAGAAGACATTTGGCATTTGTTTTTTAGGGATTGGCTAGCTTCACTTAGCATAATCTGCTCTAATACCATCCATTTCCCTGCAAATTCTATGATTTTGTCATTTTTTAATGCAGAGTAATACTCCATTGTGTATAAATGCCACATTTATTTTATCCATTCGTCTATTGAAGGGCATCTAGGTTGGTTCCACAGTCTTGCTATTGTGAACTGTGCTGCTATGAACATCGATGTAGCAGTGTCCCTGTAGCATGCTCTTTTTAGGTCTTTAGGGAATAGACCAAGAAGGGGAATAGCTGGGTCAAATGGTGGCTCCATTCCCAGCTTTCCAAGAAATCTCCATACTGCTTTCCAAATTGGCTGCACCAATCTGCAGTCCCACCAGCAATGTACAAGTGTACCCTTTTCCCCACATCCTCGCCAGCACTTGTTGTTGTTTGACTTCCTAATGGCTGCCAATCTTACTGGAGTGAGATGGTATCTTAGGGTGGTTTTGATTTGCATTTCTCTGACAGCTAGAGATGTTGAGCATTTTTTCATGTACTTGTTGATTGACTGTATGTCCTCCTCTGAGAAGTGTCTGTTCAGGTCCTTGGCCCATTTGTTGATTGGGTTGTTTGTTCTCTTATTGTCTAATTTTTTGAGTTCTTTGTATACTCTGGATATTAGGGCTCTATCTGAAGTGTGAGGAGTAAAGATTTGTTCCCAGGGTGTAGGCTCCCTATTTACCTCTCTTATTGTTTCTTTTGCTGAGAAAAAACTTTTTAGTATGAATAAGTCCCATTTGTTGATTCTAGTTATTAACTTTTGTGCTATGGGTGTCCTATTGAGGAATTTGGAGCCCGACCCCACCGACTGTAGATCGTAGCCAACTTTTTCTTCTATCAGACGGCGTGTCTCTGATTTGATATCAAGCTCCTTGATCCATTTTGAATTCACTTTTGTGCATGGCGAGAGAAAGGGATTCAGTTTCATTTTGTTGCATATGGATTTCCAGTTTTCCCAGCACCATTTGTTGAAGATGCTATCCTTCCTCCATTGCATGCTTTTAGCCCCTTTATCAAATATAAGATAGTTGTAGTTTTGTGGATTGGTTTCTGTGTCCTCTATTCTGTACCATTGGTCCACCCGCCTGTTTTGGTACCAGTACCATGCTGTTTTTGTTACTATTGCTCTGTAGTATAGTTTGAAGTCTGGTATCGCTATACCGCCTGATTCACACTTCCTGCTTAGCATTGTTTTTGCTATTCTGGGTCTTTTATTTTTCCATATGAATTTCATGATTGCTTTCTCTATTTCTACAAGAAATGCCGTTGGGATTTTGATTGGCATTGCATTAAACCTATAGAGAACTTTTGGTAATATCGCCATTTTGATGATGTTAGTTCTGCCTATCCATGAACAGGGTATATTTTTCCATCTTCTAAGATCTTCTTCTATTTCTCTCTTTAGGGTTCTGTAGTTTTCATTGTTTAAGTCTTTTACCTCTTTTGTTAGGTTGATTCCCAAGTATTTTATTTTTTTTGAAGATATTGTGAATGGAGTGGTTGTCCTCATTTCCATTTTAGAGGATTTGTCGCTGATATACAGGAATGCCTTTGATTTATGTGTGTTGATTTTATATCCTGCCACTTTGCTGAATTCATTTATTAGCTCTAATAGTTTCTTTGTAGAGCCTTTTGGGTCTGCTAGGTATAGAATCATATCATCTGCAAATAGTGATAATTTAAGTTCTTCTTTTCCTATTTTTATGCCTTTAATTTCTTTCGTCTAATTGCTCTGGCCAGTGTTTCAAGAACTATGTTGAACAGAAGTGGAGAAAGAGGGCATCCCTGACTTGTTCCAGATTTTAGAGGGAATGCCTTCAGTTTTTCTCCATTCAGAATGATGCTAGCCTGAGGCTTAGCATAGATTGCTTTTACAATATTGTGGTATGTTCCTGTTATCCCTAGTTTTTCTAGAGTTTTGAACATAAAGGGATGCTGTACTTTGTCGAATGCTTTTTTCCGCATCTATGGAGATGATCATATGGTTCTTATTTTTAAGTCTATTGATGTGGTGAATAACATTTATTGATTTCCGTATATTGAACCAGCCTTGCATCCCAGGGATGAATCCTACTTGATCATGGTGCACAATTTTTTTGATATGTTTTTGTATCCGAGTGGCCAGAATTTTATTGAGGATTTTTGCATCTAGGTTCATTAGAGATATTGGTCTGTAGTTTTCTTTCTTTGAAGTGTCTTTGTCTGGTTTAGGTATCAGGGTGATGTTGGCCTCATAGAATGAATTTGGAAGTTCTCCCTCCTTTTCTATTTCCTGAAGTAGCTTGAAAAGTATTGGTATTAGTTCTTCTTTAAAAGTTTTGTAAAATTCTGCTGTATACCCATCCGGTCCTGGGCTTTTCTTAGTTGGTAGTCTTTTGATGGTTTCTTCTATTTCCTCAATTGATATTGGTCTGTTTAGGTTGTCTATATCCTCCTGACTCAATCTGGGCAGATCATATGACTTAAGAAATTTATCTATGCCTTCACTGTCTTCTAATTTATTGGAGTATAAGGATTCAAAATAGTTTTTGATTATCTTCTGTATTTCTGAAGTGTCTGTTGTGATATTGCCTTTTTCATCCCGATGCTAGTAATTTGAGTTCTCTCTCTTCTTCTCTTCGCTAGCATCGCTAAGGGTCTGTCGATTTTGTTTATTTTTTCAAAGAACCAACTTTTAGTTTTGTCAATTTTTTCAATTGTTTCTTTTGTTTCAATTTCATTAATTTCAGCTCTGATTTTAATTATTTCTTGCCTTCTACTTCTTTTGCTGTTGTTTTGCTCTTCTGTTTCAAGGATTTTGAGATGAAGTATGAGATCATTTATTTGTTGGTTTTTTCTTTTTCTAAGGAATGAACTCCACGCAATGAATTTTCCTCTTAGAACTGCTTTCAATGTGTCCCATAGATTCCGATATGTTGTGTCTGTGTTTTCATTTATCTCTAAGAATTTTTTAATTTCCTCCTTGATGTCTTCTATAACCCATTGATCATTCAGTAACCTATTGTTCATTCTCCAAGTGATGTATGCTTTTTCCTTCCTTCTTTTATCGTTGATTTTCAGTTTCATTCCATTATGATCAGATAAGATGCATGGTATTATCTCTACTCCTTTATATTGTCTAAGAGTTGCCCTGTGACATAATATATGATCTATTTTTGAGAAGGATCCATGTGCTGCTGAGAAAAAAGTATAACTGCTTGATGTTGGGTGGTATACTCTATATATGTCAATTAAGTCTAGGTTATTAATTGTGTTATTGAGTTCTATAGTTTCCTTATTCAACTTTTGTTTGGAAGATCTGTCCAGTGGCGAGAGAGGTGTGTTGAAGTCTCCCATGATTATGGTATGGTGGTCTATTAGACTCTTGAACTTGAGAAGAGTTTGTTTGACGAACATAGCTGCACCATTGTTTGGGGCATAAATATTTATGATTGTTATGTCTTGTTGGTGT